TCTGGCATAGCTTGGACTTATGTTTTGATGTTGATGCCACACACTGTGGAATCATCCTTTCACCTACTGACGGCATTCAAAAACCCTGCATGATGAACCGAAGATTTCAAATTTTGATTCATTAGTCCATAATACCTTCTTCCAGTCCTCAGTAGTCCAATGACAGTGTTTCATAGCCCAGGCAAGCCTCTTTGTCTTATTCTGACATCTTAGCAGTGGCTTTCTTGCTGCAACTCGTCCTGTCAAACCTGCAGCTTAAAGTCTTCTCTTCTGAGACTTGTTTACTACAACCACTATTAAGCTGTGTTTGAAGCTTTTGTCCTGTGAGCCGCCTATCACGCAAGCTGTTAACTCTCAGAAATTTGCCCTCTGATTCAGTTGTGGCTTTGGGTCTGCCAGAGCTCTTCCTGTCAGAGTTTGCCCCAATTTCTGAGTAGCTTTTGATGGTGAAAGAAACTATAACGACTCCTTGACTTTCTTTGCAATTTCTTTGTAGGAAGGACCTACATTTTTAAGTGTTATGATGCTCTGTCTCGCTTCCATTGTTAATTGCTTTTTTCTCACCATTTGTGTAGCAACACACTAGTTTCTGCAATACAGTACTGTTCAACTGATGCTCACAAGGGTATGGTACCACAGTGTGTTCCAACACTGCTTTATACAGACAAAGGAGGTTGTAAGTAATCTAGAAAATCTGAAACACCTGTAGGAATTGTAGCACCAGCTTTTGACTTCCATTGCTGCAGAACAACTTTAAATTGTTAACCCATTTTGTGTTGCATGAAAAAGGAGCTTTTTGTATAATTCTGAAATGAACATTGATGATAACATGATGTCATGATGGGATGACATTTCGCATAAATATTATAGACATTATAGGCTAATGTGATAGTACAGAAAAAGCAACGTATATAATATCAATCCATGATTTCAATGACTTGTTCCATTATTTTTCGGGCTGTTCAGGTGCGACTGCCTCTGAACCAAAGCCAGCTGGTCGGGGTCGGTCCCAGAAGTCCTCAACAACATCCCAAAGCAGGAGCATTTTGCAGGGTAGGGGAATGTAAACTTCTGTTAGTGTGACTGTCTGTAAACACATGTTGCACTTGTCTATCCACAAAAAGAACCACAGAAAATTCACGGAAATCTGTCCCACGTCCACTGTATGTTTCCTCCCTCGCTCTTCAGCATTTCAGGCATCCTCTCAAAAGCCTTCTCGGACTAGAGCCACCAAATCTTACACAGATGAAGTGAGTTAATGATAAACGATAACACTCATAAACTCACAAATCTCCATTTTTAAGTGAAGCATACCATCCACTAACATTTAATCTCATATTTATCCATCTTTAGGTGATCATTGATGACTCAGATGAAGATATACCTGTAACAAAAGCTGCCCGGCCGCCTCCAAAGTATGTTTGTTTAAACCTAGACTGTAGAAGTGTTATATAGTGTTGTATTTTAGAGCAATGGCTTTTCTTAAAATCTTTGTTCTTTTCTACACCAGACCGTCGTCCTCATCAACATCGTCCTTCTCTAAATACGGCTCTCAGAGCCAGAGCCAGTCAAGAGGAATTGCATTTGAGGACAGCGATGATGATGAGGTAAAACAAGAAGGCAAATTCATGTACAGGATGTGTCGTGTAAAGTGGGATTAACATTAAATCATATAATTTTAGGTGCAATAAAAATGCATCTGAATTCATGACATCACACATATATTTATCCAACATTTTTACATCTTTTAGTTTTCTCTGACTCGTGCCTTAATCCTTTTTTCTTCATCTCTCTTTTTTTTTGATACAGGATGATCCATTCAAAGCCCCGACCAGAAGATAACCATAAGTCCATCTTAATTTTTCCAAAGTTGCAAGTTAGCTGCTCCGGTATTATTCTGAATGATTTCAAGGTCCATACACATTCAATTTCCTCATCACTCATTCTTAATGTTAACATTTTCATATCAGTCTGTTTTCTGGTGAAAGGTTAGATTGAAGGGTACATATGGGCAAGGTGGAGCTTTTGTCCTGGGTTTGCACAGTAAGACTGTGCCTGTCAGTTGGTGGTGGACTGCATCTGTACATCAACAGTAACCACTAATGGGGTTTATCTCTGGCTTTTGTAGTACTTTTGTAGTTCTTGAAAAATAAATGTTGCTTTTGATATGTAATCAAGTGTTTTATTTTTGCAATATAACTCAAAGTCACACATACACTTAGTGGACCCTTTATTAGGTCCTCCTAACTAGTACAAGGTCGATAATCACTGTTGCCTTACTCCTTCGTGACATAGATTCAAAAAGGATACTGGAAACATTTCTCAGAGACTTTGGTCCATATTGACATGATAGCATCAGACAGTTGCTGCAGATTTATCAGCTAGATATCCATGACGAGTCTCTTAATTCCATTCCAACCCAGAGTTGTTCTATTGTATTGAGATCTGGTCACTGTGGAGGGCGTTTGAGTACAATGAACACATTTTCATGTTTAAGAAACAGTTTGAGCTTTGGTGCATGGAGTGTTACCTTGTTGGAAGCAGCCACCAGAAGATGGGTGTACTGTAATCATTAAGTATAACAAGAAACCATTTTCGACACCTTTACACCAGCAGCAACGGCTCGAACCATTGCTACAAGGCAGGAAGGCTGACCCAACCATCTAAATTCTGCAGGAGACATTGGGCCTCCTTATGCTGGGCTTACACTGTGCGATTTTTGGCCCATTTTGAGCCGATTTTTGAGTCGTGCGACCGTTTTGGCGATCGGCCCGATTTTGGCCTTCATCGTGCGTCGTGCATCGTGTAGTATACGTGGGGTAACGAGAAGCGATTGGCACCTCACGACCAGCTCCCGATCATCAATCGCTTGGTCGTGAGGGTGTCACCGCAGTTTGCCACACTGCGCACGCGCAAACACAAATGTCAGCGAAAAAGACGGAACAGCACGGCAGTGCAGCGTGTGATCTGGACACAAGCGATGGAGGCACAACTTGTAGAACTTTGGAAAGCTCATCCGAGCCTTTTCGATGTGGCCTCACAAAATTATCACGATCACAACAACCGTGAAAATAGTTGGATCTACACTGCTGCTCAATCACAGCTGCCTGACCAATGTTTTTCATTAGCAATTTAGCAAAGTTGATGGTGGTGGTGTGTCTGTGTGAGTGAAAGACGGAGAGGGAGAGCGAGCGACAGAATTTCTGTTATAACCTTCATTTTTATGGACGCACAGTGTGAGCACTCAGGTCGCATCAGAGCATCGGGCCGTATAGTGTGAGACCCTGCATCGTGACCTATGAACTTCTAACCCCTGCGAGTCAATCGTGCAGTTTGAGCAGGAGCTGAATCGCGCGACTGAAAAAATCGCACAGTGTTTGCCCAGCTTTAGACTCTTCTGCAGCTGTAGCTCATTTGCTTCAAGGTTTGAATGTTGTGCATTTAGAGTTGCTCTTCTGCATTTCTTGGTTGTAAGAAGTGTTTATATAAGTTACTGTTGCCTTTCTATCAGCTTGACACAATCTAGCCATATTCTACGAATTCTGAATAACACCATTTTAGAAGTCAGGTATTAACCCTTTAAACCAGGGGTCCCCAATCGCAGTCCACAAGGGCCGGTGTCCCTGCAGGTTTTAGATGTGTCCTTGAGCTATCACAGCTGATTTAAATGGCTAAATTACCTCCTCAACATGTTTTCAAGTTCTCCAGAGGCCTGGTAATGAGCTAATCACTTGATTCAGGTGTTTGACATCTAAAACCTGCAGGACACCGGCCCTTGAGGCCTGGAGTTGCGCACCCCTGCTTTAAAGATGGGTTAGGGTTTAAAGGGTTAATGGAGTAAAGTCCCTGTACTTTGTTGACCATAAGGGGGCAGTATTTCTTTAATCTTCAATCATGCTGAACAAATGATTGTTTCTCCAAGCAAGGTGGGCTATCATCTGATTGTGCAAAAAGTTTGAATTAAAAGTTTGATCTAATATTTCATCTTTTGTTCATAATGTAAATAATGATAAAAAAATATTTCTTCATCACTTTAATTTAAGGTCTGTGGGTGTTTCTTTGAGGCTGGGATGACACAAACATTTAACGACACACAATTAAGAATAGAACAATTGTCCCAATTACCAAGTTAACATTGTTTTTATTGTCTTTGCAAACGTCTCATATATTAAACAACAACAACATCAACAACAAGAACAACAAAATGGAAAATATTCACAAATATTAGTCCCCATGGCACTCATACTCATGTCCAACTCTATTTAATATATGATATAATAAAGTACTTTTTTTTTTTTTTAGTAAAGAAACAGTTTTATAACAAATTCAGGTTGATTTCCTGTTTAAATGAGTTTTGGTTGAGTGCAAAAATTAACCCACTGCAATAAATTTGACAAAAACAAATTCTGCAGTATTTTTGGGAGAAATTCCCTTGCAGTGAAGGAAATAACTTGGTGAACACCAGTTGAAATATTCTGGCTATAGTGAGAGTGAATTGCTTACTCATGATGGAGCCAACATGGAGTGTGATCTATGAATATTTGTATTAAATCTATGTGTAGACTCGTGACCTAAATCCTCTGCGCATAAAGTGAGGTCCTTTAATTCTCACTTTCCACTTAAAGTGCTAAATCATGTTGAGGTCAGAAGTATCACACCTGCAGTCCTGCAAAAAAAAGAGAAAGAAAAAAAAAAGAAAAGAAAAAGAAAGTGCCTTTGCCCTTTAATAGAGTGATCATCTAAAATAGCACAATAAATGCATTCAACTCAGACCTTTTGTCACTTTTAAAATAATACCGATACCTGATAATAAGGTATGTTACCTTTCTCTGTAGCAGTTGGACATATTAACCCTAACCACACATTCATAACCAAAAGTCAAGGCACACAGTAATCAAGTACATTATATCTGAGGCTTGCAGGACAAACTCCAAAAATAAAAGACACAAAAAAAAAAAAAAAAAGCGTTTGCATCAATTAGTGTCAATATAAATAAAATAAACTTTGATGGTTCTTCTCTAAGGAAAACAAAACAACAACACAAGTCAATTACTTGGGTGTGACAAAGACACATACGAACACAAAAATGCTTTAAAAACAAAAAAACATGTATGACACTCTGCTATAAAGATCCCAAACATACTAGTTCACACAGCTACAGGCATAAATACAATTGTCCCCTGAGATAACGAATATGAAATGGCACAAGCAGCACCTGACGTGTGTGTTTGATGAAGTGTGTGCGTGTGCACGCGCGCGCACTTTGTTTATGCATATGGCTGTGTTTCTGTTTCCATTTTGCTGTTGAGATCTTCAACTTCCCCTCTCTCTGCAACCTTCTCTCACCTTTTGGCAACCAAAATGGAAAAAACCCCTCAAAAAAACAAAACAAAACCAGGTTTGACAGTTTCACAGTCCATCAGCGGTAGACCACACTGGATTCTCATGGTGGTTGTTTATCACAGTGGATGACATCATGGGTTTTTCTGTAGAGATGAAATAGAAATCATCTTGAGGATTGTATATATTAAATTACAATATTATGTTTTTTATATTTTTGAGGCAAATTCTTAGCCAGTGAAGTGACAAACATGTTGTGATGTGACTTTGTTTCAACATATGCAGTACCTCAATGACTGTTTGGATCCAGTTGAGCATCACTTCCACGTTGGTGTAAACACCTGGCTTTCCCTTCCGGGCACAGCCAACACCCCAGCTCACTACGCCTACCAGATTCCAACTGGAGTCACTGATATGCACCAAAGGGCCTCCACTGTCCCCCTGACATTTAAAATACATTTTAAAAATGAAGTTTGTTCACCAAAAATAACTATAATACCCAGAATACAAAATCTAATGTAAATTAGAAAATAAATTGGAGGCCTGTTACCTGGCAGGCATCAACCTTCCCTTCTAGGAAGCCTGCACAGAGCATCCTATTTGTTATGACACTACCATAGACTGCGGGGCTGGAACATACTGACTGAGCTATCAGAGGGATTTTGGCCTCCTGCAGTATGTCAGCAACTGCACCTGAAGGCAGAACACAAGCACACAATGTTTGCAACCTCATAGACAGGCAAAAGTATTTTTTCTGTTTGCATTATTAGGTGATAAAGAATAGGTTACATGTAGGATTTCTCACCATTTTCCCGTCGGTATCCCCACCCTGTCACTGTCATGTAGGTTTCAGCTGTAATGCTATAGTCTTTAGGAGGCAGACAAACTGGTCTTCTGACATCTAGAAGAAAAACATTTAATAAAGTGGAAATTTTTATTTGTTTTATGTAACTTTGAGAGTTTGAAAATACATATAAAGATATAAGCTAATTACACAATATAATGAATATAAGTTACTACGTAGTGAGAAGCTTGATATCTGACGCATAGCCACTAGAGGGCAACAGAGAGGTGGTTGAGCCTACTGAATACAAACATACCGAATACAATTTAAACTAACCTGACACTGTGATTGGCCTAGTGAGTCTCATCAGTGCTATGTCATAGTCATTTGTTTCTGCATTGTAGTCTGCATTCACTATAACTCTGTCCACAGAGGAGCCTCCCAGTGTGATTATGCTTGTCTGGCCTGACACCACTGCCCATTGCCTCAACTCCTTATTACTTCTGCAAAAAAAAAAAGAAAAAAAAAAAAGAAAGAGAGAGAGAGCAAGAAGGAAGCGGGATCATGAGGCGAAAGAATAAGACAAAGCAAATTTAGTGGAAATGATATAGTATGGTAACTATACTGACCCAGTGAAGCAGTGGGCAGCAGTGACTACCCAGCGCGGTGACACCAGTGAGCCTCCACATGTATGTTGGCCAGACCGCTGCAGGCTGACCTGCCATGGCCAGTGGTCAATGGATGTATCAGTGCCCCCAACGATGCGATCATCAGCGCCCACATTTCCACAGTCTGATAAGATATTATAATATTGTTATTTGCAAGGACCCGTGGTTCATTTCAAACTGCATTTTATATTATGTCTGTTTATTTGCTACTTTGTTATATGTCGCTAGGAAATAGTTCTGCTGTTTCCTGGAGACATGTATGGGCCTGTTAGTGTGAAACTCTCCACACAACAAGTAGTCTTCCACTTACAAAGCCAAGAACTTCACTCTGCCTTGTTAGGTGTTGTAAACAATATTAGTGACAGGTGCTGCCTTTGTAAAAATAAAACTCACCTGAACAGGATAAAGATACCACAGATCCAGACTGGCATACACTACTGTTGAAGAGATGTAAGAGGAGTTGGTCAGATGTCAGACATTATTCATATGATCACAAAACAGCCTCACAATTTGTCAAATATAGAAAACACACATCCAATTTCTAACTTGTCTTCACCCTCGTGCAGAATTTCGTTTGCATTTCTGCTGGGGTTTTATACAAAGTAAAATCTTTGTTTTGTTCACTTTCGTAAAGGATAAGATAGAAGGAACAAAAACTGTGGGATTTTTGTCTTTCAGGAATAGAAACTAAAGACTCATTTGAAGGGGTTGCATATGAAAAGGGGGGGGGGGGAGTGAAATCTAAAAAAGAAAAGGAGAGAAAAAGTGAAGATTTTCCTAACAAACAGGGATACCAAGCATGGAAAGTGTATATTGACATCCTGTTTTTAGCTAAATGCAGAAGCAACTCGCAAGGAGCCGGTGCTTCTTTGTAAGAATACATTTAGCAGAAAGTGACACACAGAAAGTTCCCTTATTAGCATTTCTATTTTGTGTAGTTTATGTTGCAATGGCAAAACATGAAGTCATGATTTGGCTTCCATATGATGACATCTTCCTTACCGGTCAGCAGTGGCTTGTTGTATAGGTGTGTTTGAGGTCCCTGGCCTGACAGCTGTAAATGGTCCAGTTTTCATCAGTGACGTTAAGGAGCTTACTAAGATGTTTTTGCTAGTAGGCTTCCTGTGGAAGCAGGGGGGGATTTTATGCTTGATTTCAGATCACATAACAGGGATGTTAAATTTGCAAGGTATTCCTCAAATTTCAACACCTTGTCATTGTAAACTCACATTGTGTATCCCAGTTGTGTACATGCCGTCAGTGTGTGCGCTTGGGTCCAGTCGTCAGAACAAACAGTCCGCCAACCTGAGTCTGGACCGTAAACTTGCAAGACCTGATCATTCGACTGGAGTCGCACTGGAGAGAGGAATGAGGAGGAGGCATTTTTCAGTTTTTCGTTTATTTATGATGACAAAGAAAGAGTGGGGAGTGCACTCTACCTGGAAATGTAGTGTTTACTTTAAAGGTCGTCATGCAGGTAATTTCATCTTCTGCTCCTGCACAGTCAATGTGCCCATCGCAGGTTTTGTCTAACGGGATGAATTTCACAGACCGTGTGCAAAAAAAGTATTTGCTTTCAATCAAGTTTTTAACTGAAAAGAAAAGAGAAGGACAGGATCACAAGGGTGTGGCCAGTTTTACATATTGCAGTGTGTAAAGTGTGTTTTGAAGAAGTACATTTTTTAGGAATTGTAACTCACTGAAGTATGCTGCAATGGCCAGTATGCCCAGTATCAACATAACTGTTAGTGTAGTGATCAACACTTTCTTGATCTTCGCTCTCTTCTCTTCCGGGGTGTTTGGAGCCGTCATGGGCCTTCTGTGGCGTCCTGGCCGAGGAACTGCAGAAAGAAGAATAATTAGAAGTGAGATAACAGAATGTAAAAAGAAACGCAAGGACGCAATCAACAGGAAACCGCGATAGCAGAATAGAAACCGCAGAACAGAGACCAAAAAGGGTAGAAAATTTGTCAAGATGGAAAAAAAAGAAGTGTGCACATGCAAATTCTAATTACTGCCTGGCCTGTCTGTTTCCAAGTATTTATCATACTATGCAAACATTATTACAGTGCAGCAAAAATACATATATTGATCCCAAACCAACACAAACTTATAGCTTACCTGGGTTTGTAGGATTTAATGGCCTTGAGGTTTCCTCAGGGAGCTGAGCAGCTGTCTGAGGACAGAAGAGACAAAAGCAAAGGTGAAAACTGGGGTGTAATCACATCAGGTGCCTGTGTCTCTAGGTTATACCTCCTTCAACTCCCTGAGCATGGACATGCTTTATTTACCATGCAAATGTCAGTGTAAGTAGCTGAGCTTGCACAAACTCTTTCAGCAGAGCTTTTGTGTTTAGTTCCAGATAAGTGTTTAAGAGAGCTATTTTTTACACATATTTAAACTTAAGTTTCCTACAGTGCCTTGCTCTTCTCCATTGTGTCTTGTCTTCGTCTGAGTTGGGATGTTTGTGTGTGAAACACTAGACCCAATTTCCTAGTCTACTTGTGACTGATCACACCTGCCCTTCATCTGCACATCTAGACAGCTGTGAATAAAAGGTGGGCCTTCATCTCCTCTCTGTTACATTGTTCAGTCTACTAACATGATGGTATCAGTGGTCGTTAGGCCACCGGACTAATTAGCTTTGATTACCTTTTGTTGCTTTAGCTAGGGTTGTTGTTGTTTTTTTTTTTGATTAACATCATTCCTGTAATTCAGCACGATCTGCCATGTTGTCAGTATGTTTCAATTAATCAACAGTGCTAAAGCCAATCAACCTCTAACCCATTTCCTCTTTCAGCCCTCACTCAGCCAACCACAGTAGGCCTGCCCCACCTGTTTTCACAGCTTTTTCAAGTGCTGCCATTTCAGCTCGCTTAGCCCTTCTGCCAGTAACCAACATCTCCTCCCTGCATACTCATGGTTTTACCATTTCTTCAATTCTCTTAAGTATTAACAGTAAACCGGTGGATCTGTCTTTTATGGGTCTGCATTTGTAGATCAGTGCATAAAATACAATCTGTCTAGTGGAGGATCACAGAAAAAGACAAGTTATGGAAACATGGCAGAGAATGTGTTGTTCACATTAAAACTGTGTCTTTTTGGAATAATTGCCCAAGCACAAAATACACCAACAGTACAAAGTGTCCTGTGTACTGAGGAGTATTGTGTTAGGCTGTACTTGGGCCCAGTGAAATTTCTGTTTAACTGAAGCAGATACTGTGGAAACAGTATAAACTGATAGATCAGGGTGAGTGTCCTTCACATAAAATGAATCAGGTTAAAGGCCCATATTATGCAAGTCAAACAGCTTGTGTAAGTGCATGCAGTCCATTTCAGTCACGAAATTTCAGTCACGAGTAATGTCTATATTCTTTTTGTTTCATTTTCATACTTTGGCTTTCAGATTAGGAAATGTGTCTAAATGACCTAACTACAGAAGACTTAAGACAGCAGCAGATCCATGATTTCAAATCAGTACACTTACTGATGACTGATGACACCTTGATTTTGTGATTTTTCATAAGGTTGAATTGTGCTTGAAAAAAGCCCTGCAGTGTCTTTTTAAAAATGTTTACCTTACACAGACTGCAGTTAGAAACATGAATATTTTTTCAGTAAGCTCATTTTACTTTGGTCTCTTTAGTGGAGATTGGTAACACCAAAGGGGTAATAGGAGCAGGTGGTCTTTGACTCTGACATAAGTTGTTTGAATAATCCTTTTTTCCTGCTTATCTTTTTGCTTAACAACACACAAAGTGGCTGGCTAGCTTACATTAGCCGCGGCATAGCAAGATGTTACTTTAGCTCATACATAACAGTTGTTCAAAGATGACTTTTGGTAATATTATTGGCATAGTTACTGTATATATAGTAACTGGTTATCCATTCCTTATCCACTCTGCACCATTGCACCATAAATATGCAACATGTTGTTATGTGTTGTCTATGTCATGTTGATGCCATGTTGTCAGTATTGTCTGTTGTGTACACGGAGAGCAAAGAAATAACCAGAGATCAATTTCTTGTATATGTACACATATTTGCTATATCAAGCTGATTCTGATGGTCAGTAATGATAACTAATGAGGCTGGTTCCAAATGAGCTCTATGGGGTAGTTAGAAGTTGGCTTCTGATTTTACATCATACAAACAGCAAACAATGAGGCAACACTGACAATCAGTGTACCTCCAAAAGGTAGAGTGAGTGCTACATGTGCTAATTATCAAATGTGTCATGGGAGAGATTTGGGGTTTAGCCAGCGAATGGTTACATTCACATTAAAAAGACATTAAAAAGGTATTTGGTGCTGAGCTTGAAGAGTTTTACAGAGCTTTGTGGTTAAAAATAGATGCTCCAAAGCTATTACTCAACTTGCAGGCGAGTTAATATACACATTTTTCTTCTTTCACTCATTCGTTGCCTGTACTACACCAGAAAGTCAGTCACTACCAAGATACGTGTCTCTTGTTCAATTATAAGTCAGAGTAGCTTATTTTATTCTCTCATTCACTCAGTCATTTCTTCAGCTCTGAGGTGTCTCTCACATTCATACCATTAAGCTATTATGTGCATATTCATTACATCTAACCAGTCCCTTTCCTGCCTCACTGGCCCTCATTAGCTGTTGTTGACAAGACAAGCTACTTTTAGAAAACAACAAGAACAACTAATCTGTGAAGAAACTCAGGTAACAAATTATCTGAAGAATCAGGACCTACAGATTTCAGATTCAAGTAATAATTTACTAACTATTAAATCAACAAGAGGAAAATGAATATCACAGTGGAATAAAGTAGTGAAGAATGATTTGCCAACATTGCAGAGGAAGAGGATTGCATCAGGATGAGATGGAGGTATATGAACAGTCAAAAAAGAAGAAAAAGGAGAACTGTGATATGTTGTTTGGTATTTATGGGTTTTTATCAGGGCTATAGTTCATAATCTGAGAGTAACAGGAGTCTTTTCCTGAGTTCCTGTTTTTGAAACTTAAATGTTTCAGATCATCAAACAAATTTAAATATTAGGCAAAAATAACACAAACGCAAAATGCAGTTTCTAAATGAAAGTGTTTATTACTTAGGGGAAAAAAATTACCTTCATGGTCCTGTGTAAAAAGATGACTGGACTTAAACCTCAGAACTGGTCGGGCCACCCTTAGCAGAAAAAAACTGCAATCAAGCATTTATGATAGCAGGCAATGAGTGTTTTACAGAGATGTGTAGGAATTTGGGCCCTCTCATCTTTGCAGAATTGTTATAATTCAGCCACATTGGAGAGTTTTTGAGCATGAACCACCTTTTTAAGGTCATACCACAGCGGGACTAGGCCACTCCAAAGTCTTCATGTTGTTTTTATTAAACCATTCAGAGGTGTACTTGCTGGTGTGTTTTGGATCATTGTCCTGCTGCAGAGCACACTTGGGTTCAACATAAACAAATGGCTGCACATTCTCCTCCTTGTCTTGATAGACCAGAAACATTTATGTTCCTGTGGTTCTTAAAGTTGTATTGGTGGTCTTTTGTGACCTCCTGGATGAGTCATATATGCTTTTTTTTGCAATTTTGGTCGGCCGTTCACTACTGAGAAGCTTCGCTACTGTTCCAAGTTTTCTCAGTTTGTGTATAATGGCTCACACTGTGGTTCACAGTGACTGTGGCTCAGGGGATTGGGACGCGCATCTGTAACCGGAAAGTCGGCGGTTCGATCCCCAGGATCTCTGTCCTGGTCGTTGTGTCCTTGGGCAAGACACTTTACCCTACTGGTGTTGGCCAGAGGGGCCGATGGCGCGATATGGCAGCTCGCTTCTGTCAGTCTGCCTCAGGGCAACTGTGGCTACAACTGTAGCTTTCCTCCACCAGTGTGAGAGTGAATGGATAGTGACATTGTAAAGCGCTTTGGGTGCCATGAAAAGCACTATATAAATCCGATCCATTATTATTATTCACTGGAGTCCCAAAGCCTTAGAAATGGCTTTATAATCCTTTCCAGGCTGATACTGTGGATGACAGTAACTTAGATTGTGGCATGATAGCCTGCTTTACTTTGTTGGAAAGGTTCTTTTTAAGCAAGTTCTTGATTCAACAGGTCTGCCAGTAATCAGGCTTGGGTGTGCTTATTGGAACTGAACTCAGATTTCCATGAAATGTAGTTAATTCATCATTTAAGAAGAGAGAAAATTAGGACCAGGTAGGTTTTGATAACATTTCTCCCTTAATCAAAGACATCATAATTTAAAACATAAATTTTGTATTTAGTCAGGTTTCCTTTGTCTAATCTTTAAAGTTGTTTGATGATATGAAACATATAAATGCGACAAATATGCAAAAAAAAAAAAAAAAGAGCAAAAAACAAAATTTAACCTAGAAGGGGGCAAACACTTTTTCACACCACTGTATATACTGGTAAAATATCTTAGCTTTGTTTAGGTTCAAAAAACACTTGATAAACTTGTTAGCGTCTTTATTTCTTGTGCAATAAAGGGACTGGGAAAAAATCTATTTAAAAAGTATGGTGTTTCTGTCATACTGGTGTAAACTGCTCAGTCAAGCATGTAGAGCGTTCATAAATTTCACACAGCAGCGAGCAAAATAAAAAGTGTACAACACAGAAAAATTCCCATGGCTTCGGCTCGGAGTATCTGTTAGAGTGATTGTCATGCTTGACTGCCATTACTGTTCCTCAAATCCAGTCACCTTTGCAATTAAAATTGCAAGTTGTGTTCTTAATATGAATGTAAAACTCTACAGTCTTTAATAGGAATTAAATAAACATTTTACTGAACAAAACTGGTGAAATCTCTTTCCATACTGTGCTGTGTGAAATAATAACTACATTTTCAACTTCCCTCTTAAACTTCCTAAAATGCTACTGTAATGTTGTTCCCCCTCGAAAAATGCAAACCTTTACTTGCTTATCCCCAGCATCTCAACAACATATGTCAACATTTTGAATCTCAACCACTTTTATGCCTTTCACAAACAAAGGTTATCTGTGTTGTGCTATGCTCAATTATGACTGTTAGTCTCACTGCATTTCCAACATTTGGCACACAGTCATGTGGTTTCACCTGTAGCATTATACTGTAGATCAAGTGTCACATCAATGTGGCTGCTGACTGGCCAATTAGAAGATTTTAGTATGCGGTATATTTTGTTACAGAGGGGTAGCTCGAAGAACACTTTTCATCAGCCTGCTGTTCTACCTTTGTCTTGTCCTCAAAGCTCTTCAACCGCTAGATTACAAATACATTTAGCGTAGCACATATGCTTCAGATCGGCTGGTACAAAAACACAACATGCAGGTCACTAACCAGTGAGGACTTTCCAGAACCAAAACAAAAAACAAAAGACAAAGATTAAAAATGGGAAGAGTTATTTTCTTTCATTTTCACTACTGCTTATTTTTGATGCAGAAGTATCAGGTAATCCACCCTTCTATTTGCACATTTATGTGTCACTAGTATCACTTAATTTGGTAGAGCTACAGAGAAGTATGAAGGCCAATTTTGAAAACAGATCCCATAACTGCCACTGTCTGTCAGTGGAAATATACAAGTTGCGGAGAGAGAGGGGCGAAGAATGCTGTTGGGCAGGTTTTTCTTTCTTTCTTTTTTTTCTGAACAGTAGCTCAGTAGCTCTGTGCTGGTTTTGCTCATGTGCTCATGTTCAGCATTCAGCTTTCATCTTAAAGTACAAGAGTTGAATACAGTGTATAAAAGAATGTGACACCTTCCTCTTTGTTTCATTTACTGACATTTCAGAATTCTCAGATTTCACTTTACATAGAAATCCAGTATCCAGTGGCACTTTGCAAATAACATGAGAATTTTACACTCCTACAGTAAATATGCTGTTAAGCTATAGTTAGTCTACATCCATATACTTAAAAAATAAAGAAACAAAAAAAGCAATATAAGGTGATTCTGAGATTTAAACACTGTGTTTCACCATGTTTCATCTGGCTGGCTTATTCATTTAAAATAAAACATTCACCATTTTAATTAACTATTTTATTTTTAACCACTGTTAGTCAATACATAGTCACAAAAGAACCAGACACACCCATCCCTGAAACCAACTGGAAGTAACGTTTATGGGGGGAAGTAAACAGTAGGAGAAAGTAGGTTATCGGCTTGTGGTATAAATTACAGTTATTTCGGGAAGTAATAAAAGCAGGATAAACAAAACAGTGGGCAGGCCATACAACATGGGAAACCAAGAAGCCGGCTAAAGAAATTTGTCTTGAGTGGACCTTCCTGTAAAAATGCATTGTCATGCCATGAGATATGACGACAGTGTACTTGGAAACTTAGATGTTGTCATTGGTACCAAGACAAATGTAAACGATTTTATGAGTCAGGGCAGTATTTCAAAACAGCCTGGTAGTACTAGTTAGTCATGTGTTATTCAGAGCAACAACTAACCTGTTTATGAAAAACACTGGAAGTGCTGCACTGGATCAAAAACACTGTTAGTAATGTTTGCTCGTCAAAAGGCCAGTGGTGAAGTACGAGTGGGAAAAAAAATGACAGCCTATAAAACCAAGGCTCTATCAATGACAGCCTATATCAACAAAAACCAACAGCTTTGTGTTTGGAGTTAAGGATACTCCTTCTAAGGGTATAACTTGCGATCGCAATAAGGTGAGATTCCTTCTGTATTGCCACCTACAGTAAGCTTCCAGTTTTAATAAGCCTAGCTGATTCATACAGTGGACTGCTGCCAAAAAGCCTTGAAGGGAAAAAGTATAATTGGGTCAAGTTTAACAGAAAAAAGCCGTTGATACGGTAAGCTCAAGTATGTTTCCTTTACTGCTTTGTTGTAGTAACAGTCATACACACACACAAGAGTCATCCTCTGGGAATGTGTGTGATACTTTGTCATTTTTCCTTTTTAACATAAGACCATTAATTGTTTATTGATGTTAATAAGGCTGATATAATATGTAGTTTTCTATGCAATAGCCAGTGCATGTTGATCTTTCCTGTTGAGCCATTGTGGAGCATCGCTTGTTGCTTGGGATGAGTGTGAAGCTACTAATTTTAATATAACAAATACCTAGATCTCTCTCTCTCTATAAAAAAAGACTTGACTGGAATTATTCTTTATGAACCCTGAAATGAGTAAACGTACACACTTCTTGTATACCCATGTTTGCGTTAAGTGTTACTCAGTTTTGTGGGTCCAGCATTAGTGGCTGTCTTTTCCGTGCTGAGTTATTATGAAAAGTATTGTATTCTTCATACGGCCGTGCTCTACATTCAAATATCAAAAATTCTATTGGCAAAATTATGAATATGAAATGTTACTGCGTGTTACTGCTTGTCACAGACCGTTGATAAGGTCCTCAAAATATGTCACTACACAACATCTGTTCTGGTTTTGTATGAGCTATCCTTTCAACATAGCTGCTGTTGTAAATAATATCAATGCAACAGGTCTATCCAGTGTCTTTATATTACGTTAAATATCAAGTTTATTACCACGTAATATCCAGAGGTCATTATTCAAATCACTTCTTAAAGGCAAGCCATTGACTGTATACCTACACGATGTAAATAATGTTGATTGTACTTCCAGTTGCACTTACCCACATGGTGAAGGTGTCTCTTTTGGTAAGGCTTGATGTAGCTTGTCACAGAGTACAGAGTAAACACTGCCCTCCCTTTCAGGAGGTGGGATTCCTCAGAAATTTTGCTGTCCCTTGGCTATCTTTGTCCCCTTCCTCTTACCGTCATGCTACAAAACCTGGCTCAGTTGAGTCTCCCACTGTCTTCCTTCTTCCTTCCTGTTTTCTTTCTGTATTACAGTAACTTAATCAGATGCCCCTCTTCAAAACCCCAAGGCCGCAATGAAGCTTGATAATACGTAGCCTTTCAAATCAACACGGAGAGCTTCTTTTAAACGATCGATTCCCACTGACAAAACAAAACTAAAGTCCAGGTAACCTGACACTTTAACCCTCCTCTTTCCCTTGCTTTCTGTCTCTCTCTCTACCTGTGCGCTTTTCTCATTTCTGTCCCTCCTCCCACACCGTCCTCCATATCTAAACTTCTTTAGCCTCTGCGACACAAAGCATGCTCTCTTTGTATTTTTCTCCTGTCATGTTCTTTACCCACCCTTTCAGTCATTCTTTGGCTTTCAAATTTTACGCAAACACACATTCATGTGGCAAACCATCTCCATGTATACAAATGGATGCAAAAACACAAACGTAACACACAAACCAGTAAAACTTGAATTTTCCAGTGGCACGGCGTACGCTCGGAGGTTTAGGTGTGTCTCCAATCTGTTTTTTTTTGACAGTTTAATGATTACTTTGATTACTTAGATTACTGTAATACTATATGTACAAGCACACTACAGTTGTAGTGACAACTGTAGTGACTGTTGAGATTGTGACTAAAGGTCCAACATCCCCGTCTGTTTCAGCCATGCCGCAGAATATCTCTTCTTAATATTCTGAAGAGCTAAATTATCTTTTAAAGGTGCATTCAGTGACCGACCTGGTCACTAAGTCAGAGTTTCTAAAAATGAAGCCACTGTGAATGGGACACTGAGCATAGACGGCAGAGCAAGAAAAAAAGCTTCATTGGGAGTGTGCGGGAGAGAAGACTGATAAGGTCATCTGAAGAGAAAGAACCATTGTAAATAAACAGGAGCTGAGTGTGCTGTTTGACCAGGTCTACTAAAAGAAACAACCCTTCATCACTTGGACTCTCATATGGTATCATCAGTTGTCTCACAGCATACACTATATAAGAAAATAGAGGGACTGATAGTACTTCAGGTGTGCTGCTACAGTATACAGGTAGACTTGCCGGAGTGAATCAGTTTGAAGCTAATCATTTTTGCTTAGGTCTCTTTCAGCCAATAACTGCTGTTACTTTGTTGGAATTCAGGCTGGGGTAGAATTAATAAGACATTTAGAGCCTCCACCCTGAATTACATGCATGAAGTCTTTTTGTGAGTTTACCCATTGAAGCCTGTGGAAAATTGTCATCAAGCAGCATTACACACTGCCACTTTTTTTTTACCACATTTTTTTTACCAAAGAAAATCAGGCATCATTTATATCCCCTTTGCTATATTACATTTCTCACAGGCAAACAATGTAAGTTGCGTGAATGCTGCAGTCACAGTATTTACCCTCTCCAACAGTCTGACATGATTAAACAACAGCTGACAAAATGTTTGCACACACAATAAAAGAGAAGATGAGAGAAAGCCAGTGATCTAATAAAGCTGTTGTACGCCCTTGTTTGATTCCATTAAAAGACTGCTTCTTTTTTTTATTTTTTTTTATGATCCTATCAGTTCTGTGACGTGACATCCAGTCTAATGCAGATAAAATTAATTAACTTCTTTGTGGAAGCCACCTGTTGTTTGTATCTTCTGTTTTCTTTTAAATCTAGTTGTGTGCAAAGCTCAAGGACGGCATGAACATCTTGGTAATAAGTTACATATTAACTTAAATACATGTGTGTTTCTGCTGAGACTCAAACGTAATGATGATGAACATGAACCAAATAAGAGAACTTCCTATTTTCGAGCGTTTGTATTGCTTATTCTACGAAAGCATTGTTGAGCAACAATTATTTTAGCAGCACATTTGAATTCTGTGCAAACCTCAGAAGAATTTAAGCAGAGTGATTTTGTTTCACATATTAGGTCGTTTAAAAACACATTAATGGTGTCGAGTATTACAATGCCAAATTTACACAAATTAAAATAAAAATATGCTTGCAGAAACAACTCCAAAAATCTCCTGTTAAAACAGCTGATAATGTTGTATTTGACTATGTCCAACTTTAGCCCATCACGAATGGACGCAACGCATACACGTTAATTCCGCACAGCTTTCCGTTTCTTTTCAATGACGTCAGAGATTGATCTTATCATTCCATGAAATTTCAGTGAAAGAATGTTCATATGAAGAACTTTAAAATGTGTGGGACTACAGAAATTTAAAATCTGGGAATCCCCTTTAAAGCTAAGACATCTTTATCAGGCATGCTCTTATCAGAGTTTAGTAAAGCCGAAACTTGGAAACAGAATTATGAAAGTTTTCTCTGAGCTGGTGAAGTTCCCCATATCTGTAACTCACACAGGATGCTGTTCTTTCCTCAGTTGTCCCTTTTCTGGATGAATACAATAAAACACGTATAATGACGTAGACATGACCTAGATGCCATCACGATTGCAAAGTTGTAAAAAAAAGAAAAAAAGAGAGAATTTATTACATTAACGCAGATAAACATATATTGCTTTTCCTTACTTGAGAAATGGTTGTCGCTGTCAGTCTTTCTCAGTGAAGTTCTCAGTAAAGCATCTATAGAACAGGGAGCAGCCTGGTTGGAAGTGACACTTGGTATGCAAACTTCCACTCTGTAGACCGCTTACTTGAATGTTCCCTCTCTCGCTCCGTCTCTCACTCTCTCTCGCCCTCACATGCCTGGTCAATGTACCATCAAAGCTATTTCACTACTACCTCCCCACCAGTTAGCGCAAGCCCTCCTTTGTCCACACAGGTGTGTATTTTGTGAAACTTGATACGGCCTCAAGAAACCTGCGAGACTCAAAAAAATAAACCGTTAATGATTAACAATCTCACATTTCAAGTTCCCGGGTCTCTCCACTTTCATCTCAAATCAATCCTTTTGTAAAAATAGGATCATTAAATAAAACTGAAATTTGTTTTAGCTCAAGAGAAAATTTACTGAAAAGACACAAACAGATAAATCAGTTTAGATATTTATTATATTTTAAGATAAATAGTGCTATTTTGGAACATGAGTGGACTGGATAAAGCAAATAGACAAATCATTTTCTTATTGGAATATGAATGTCTATCTCAACAAAACTCTAAATATGTGAGCCATGGAAAGTAAAATATGCTGTGTGGTTTATTGTGGAGATTTTCCAGAAACTATGATCATAACTCTGGTATCTATTTCTACCGGGAACACATTCAATTGTGTTATTGTGTCACCTGCCACCCACCCGCAGTATAAGGACTACTGCCTTATGCCGAGAAGTGTACTCTTTTACGGTACTTATGTGTGCCGCAAGCAGGTAGTCTTGATTGTGAAAGACTATATCTTTATAGACGCAGGGCGGCGCAGCCTGGTTTCCTATGATTACTGTCATTGCAGAGGATCAGTGACACTTCTCAGTGTGATGTAATAGTAAAGGAAAACAGTTTACTGTAAATTTGCTAACTTATTTCCAATAAATTTTTTTTAAAAGATTCTTTTCAAGAAACGAATGGATTCCCACTCTATCAACTATTTCCTGCAGTACAGAAACAAGGGTTACATTTGAAGATTTGGATTGCTGATGCCTGTGGAATTTTTCTGAAATTTATGAAAAAGTATTCCCTGGTCTGATGACCGTCAATTCTGCTGCAGCATTCAGATGTCAGAATTAAGAATAAACAACATGAACTCATGAATCGGACTGGTAAATGGCCTGTATTTGTGTAGAGTTTTACTTGGTCCCTATGAACCCCAAAGCACTTTACATTACATTCAGTCATCGACACATTCACACACTGGTGATGGCAAGCTACATTGTAGCCACAGCTGACACTGACAGAGGCGAGGCTGCCGAACACTGGCGCCACCGGGCCCTCTGACCACCACCAGTAGGCAATGGGTGAAGTGTCTTGCCCAAGGACACAATGATCTAGACTGTTGGAGCCGGGGCTCGAACCGGCAACCTTCCGATTACAACTCTTGAGCCACGATCGTGGTAGTATAATACTATGAAGGATATTTTCTTGGTATATTTTGGGCACCTTAGCATCAACTGAGTGTTATTTAAATGCCACAGCCTATGTGATCATTACTGCTGATCATACCCTTCCCTTTATGACTACAGTGTACCCATTTTCTGATGGCTGTATCAAACTTGTTTCTTGAACTTGATAATGGGTTCACTGTACTCAAATGGCCTCCACAGTCTCTGTAACTTCTGAAACTTACTGATGGCCATTGTATCATTTGTCAACATCATGTTTATATATATAGATATTAAAATACAGGGTGGGGCATTTATATGGATACACCGTAATAAAATGGGAATGGTCGGTGATATTAAAGTCCTGTTTGTGGCACATTAGTATATGTGAGGGGGCAAACTCCTCAAGATGTGTTTCCCTCTTTATGCACTGAAGCTGGCACGTTCCCTGAGTTTTTCCAGTAAGATGGTGCACCACCACGTTATGGGTGCCAGGTCTGAGCATTCCTAGATGAACAGTTTCCTGGAAAGTGGATCGGTCGTCGTGGGCCAGTTGAATGGTCCCCAAGGTCTCCCGATCTGACCCCCTTAGACTTTTATCTTTGGGGTCATCTGAAGGCAATTGTCTATGGTGTGAAGATACGAGATGTGCAGCACCTGAAACTACGGATACTGGATGCCTGTGCTGGCATTTCTCCTGCGGTGTTGCTATCAGTGTGTGAAGAGTGGGAGAAGAGGGTTGCATTGACAATCCAACACAATGGGCAGCACATTGAACACATTTTATAAGTGGTCAGAAACTTGTAAATAACTCATGAAAGAATAAAGTTACCTTGAAACCAAGCACACCATTGTTTTTCTTGTGACATCACCAATAAGTTTGATGTGTCACATGGCCCTCTTCCTATTGAAAAAACAAAAGTTGAAGGCCACCATGGTCACCACCCATCTTGAGGAGTTTGCCCCCTCACATATACTAATGTGGCACAAACAGGACTTTAATATCACCAACCATTCCCATTTTATTACGGTGTATCCATATAAATGGCCCATCCTGTAGATGAAAACTTAAGAAAGGCCTCAACAGTCACCATATTGTTGTTAGGAAAACCAATATATGCACTACAGTTTTGCAAAAAGATTACTGAAAGAAAAAAAAAAAAAAAAAGAA